AGTATCACATTCTTGGGGCATATCATTAGCGGTGAAGGTATCACAATCAAGGTTAAAGAAATTTTTGATTGGCCTAAACCAACCACTATTACAAAAGTTCAGAGTTTCCTATCCCTGACGGGTTATTATAGAAGATTTGTTGAAATTTTCTCTCAGATCGCAATGGCTTAATCTAGTATGATTCAAAAGGAGGTGAAATTTGAGTGGACAGATCGTTGCGAGGAATCATTTTAGAAGTTGAAGATGTGTTTGATAACAGCTCCAGTATTGATTATTCCCTCAGGGACAGAAGGCTTTCTGAATTATAATGATGCGTCTCTAAGAAAACTTGAATGTGGGCTTATGCAACACAGAAAGATAACTGCTTATGCCTCTAGACAACTGAAAACTCATGAGAAAAATTATACAACACATGATTTGGAGCTAGCAACAATTGCATTTGCTTTAAAGATATGGAGGCATAATTTATATGGTGTCGAGTGCGAAGTGTCATAGATCACCAAAGTTTAAAGTATATTTTACACAGAATGAGCTGAATTTAAGGCAAAAGTGATGGTTTGAATCTATCAAAGATTATGATTTGGATATACAATATCACCCGCGGAAAGCAAGTGTAGTTGTTGGAGCATTAAGCAAGAAGACAAGTGGAAAGGCTAACTGGATAATTACACAACAAGCAGAATTGATTAAAAATATAAAGCGCTTACAATTATCTGTAGTGGTAACAAATGATGAAAGTTTTGTATTATTGAATCAGATGCTCTTCTAGCCAAACTTTGAAGGATAGAATACAAGATGCATTTTCAAATGATACAGAGTTTCTGAAAATATTAACTGAAAATCAAGATGCATTTTCAAATGATACAGAGTTTCTGAAACTGAAAACTGAAAATATTAAACCAGATAAATGAAGGTCAATTAGGGAAAAATGAGAGATAAAGAAAAGTTGTTGAAGTCAGGAATAAAATTTTGATTCCTAATGTGAATGATTTATGAAAAGAAATGCTTCATGAGGCACAATATTCAGAAACACCATACATCCAAAAAACAACGAGATGTATCAATAGCTTAAAGGCTTATTTTGGTTGTCAAGGTTGAAGCGCAGTGTAACAAAGTTCGTAATAAAATGTCTTACTTGTCAAATGATTAAGACTGAGCATAAGAAGCCTAGTGGGTTATTGTAACCAATCCCTATACTGTAATGAAAATGGGAGGAAATTGCAAAGGAATTCATGACGGGGCTACCAAGACCAAAGCAAGAATGTGATGTGTGGTACTGATCGTCTGACCAAGTGCACAATTCTTGCATATCAAACGGATGGATTTTGTGGACAACTTAACCATAACTTATGTTAAAATTATTCGACTGCGTGGATCCCCAAAGTTTACTGTTTCAGATTAAGATAGTTGATTCACATCCAGATTGTGGAGGAAAATTCAAGAGACGGAGGGAAATTCAAGGGACTTTGGGTATTTAACTGACATTCAGTATAGTTTTTTATCCTGAACTGACAATCAGTCAGAGAGAACGATACAAATATCAGAAGACCTACTTCAACATTAGGCTCCTAACTTTGGTGGAAACTAGGAAATGCACATCTACAACAATACCTTCCAAACTAGTATTGGTATGGTTCCTTATAAAGCCTTATATGGAAGAAAATGCAGGACACCTTTTTGTTGGGCAGAAATGTGAAAGGAAATAAAATGTTGTTGATTTAGTTGATGAAACAATTGAGAAGATCCAGTTAATTTGTGATAGTTTGCGAGTTTTTCAAGATAAACTGAGGAAATATTATGATAGTAAACATCAACCAGTGGAATTTGAAGTGAGAGAGTTGTCTTTATGAATGTAAATCCTATAAAGGTGTTGAGTGGTTAGGAAAGTCTGTTTTTATGAAGGTCAATCCTAATGTTAAGCGTTTACGACACATGCACAGCAGTTGCCATTCGAATGGGACTTCCACCTCCCACCGCAACTTGAAGAGGGAGTATTTTCCTCGTCTCATCCCTTCAGTTCACACACGAGAGACAGAGAGTAAGAGAAAGACAACTTGAAAAACAGAGGAAGAAGAAATAGAGAAGAAGAAAAAAAGAAGAAAACAAAGAACAAGAGAGGAGTGCAATAGATTCCAAAACTGCGACAGCAAGGTACTTTCCAAGCTCGAGGGATGCCTCGTTCCTCCATTTTCGCATGAACCTAGTGTGCAAAAAGCTTGAGCTGCACGTGAGAAGGATTTTCTCTTCGCTTTGCTAGTGAATCATGCTTTGAAGCACGCTTTTAAAAACATTGGATTGAATTTTATCAAACATAACAGCATTGATTCAATTTTTTCAATTTTTTCAATTTTCTTTACAAACAACTCAAATATTATAAACATTGCTTTCACTTTACTTTGTATGCACTTGATCAAACAAAGAAAATATTTCCCTTGAATTTATATTATATGAAACCAAATAGCCCCTAAGTATTCCTAATAAATTGCACTTAGAGCACACTGGATTTCATTTATTTTGCATTCCTTTTTTCAACCAATCAATCGACGCCTTAAAAGATTTCAAAATGATCATCCCATAGTTGCCTTATATGGCATAAGAAGACTTCTCAAAATGAGTTGAATCAAAATCACCAAAGCCAATCAAGAATGATGTGCAACATTAACTAGTAAGACAACATATAATACCTTGTCAGCATATATGATAAGTTAAATGGGATTGGGTTACATAAAACATAGTTTTATGTACCCAAGCTATATCGTAAAGCTATAGATAAAATTTAGTTTTTAATTTTGTTTGTTCAAGAGCAATTTGAAGGCTTATAAGGCTTTCATCATGTTTAAACTTAGTAAGGAATCATATTTGAACTTGGTTGTGTCATACATATCATATGATCATTAAACGGTTCTCAAGCAAAGCATTCTCATAGTCATAAATTCCTTTGAATTCATGCACATCTTCCCCATCATCATCCTTATTTTCTTCTTTTTAGACATTGATGTGTAAATTTCTACTAAGCCATTTAGTTGCAAGCTTGACCCGTTTAGTGACATACAACACATGTCTTTACATAGCAAAGATTTTTGTTCCTGACTCTTTCCTAACAGTAATGTTTTTAACTTTCGATGTGCTCATTTGGTATAGACTAATTTGGCAAAAAGAAGGATTTCCTATGTACAAATAAAACCATTTAGATGCAAGAAACGTGTAGAGTTGTTCAAAATCTAAAGCCAAATAAAAATCCTACCAGGCAAATTAACTTAATGTGGTATCAACTCTATGATAAGTTCAAGATTAAAGAAATCCTACACTTAGAACGTATTGTTTTCAAATCCTCCCTAATTTCAAACTATGGCAGCAATTCTTAAATTTTATTCATGTACGCAGTTACAACCTTGGTACATTATTATAAAAAGTTGAGCTCACTAGTAATAGAGCACATAACAATAAGGTTTTTCTTTAACAGCAATTTAATTTCATAGATCTTTTCAAACCATGTAATTTTTGGTTCTAACCCCAATCATTCTACTTGTAATTCCACACCAACCCAATACATCTTAGCTTGGTTTGTAAGCTTTAATTTGGTAGATCTTATTTATTGCACACCAAACATCATTAGTCAAAAAAAGAAATTTTTCTTTAATTTCATAGATCTTTTCAAACCATGTAATTTTTGGTTCTAACCCCAATCATTCTACTTGTAATTCCACACCAACCCAATACATCTTAGCTTGGTTTGTGAGCTTTAATTTGGTAGATCTTATTTATTGCACACCAAACATCATTAGTCAAAAAAAGAAATTTTTCTTTAATTTCATAGATCTTTTCAAACCATGTAATTTTTGGTTCTAACCCCAATCATTCTACTTGTAATTCCACACCAACCCAATACATCTTAGCTTGGTTTGTGAGCTTTAATTTGGTAGATCTTATTTATTGCACACCAAACATCATTAGTCAAAAAAAGAAATTTTTCTTTAATTTCATAGATCTTTTCAAACCATGTAATTTTTGGTTCTAACCCCAATCATTCTACTTGTAATTCCACACCAACCCAATACATCTTAGCTTGGTTTGTGAGCTTTAATTTGGTAGATCTTATTTATTGCACACCAAACATCATTAGTCAAAAAAAGAAATTTTTCTTTAATTTCATAGATCTTTTCAAACCATGTAATTTTTGGTTCTAACCCCAATCATTCTACTTGTAATTCCACACCAACCCAATACATCTTAGCTTGGTTTGTGAGCTTTAATTTGGTAGATCTTATTTATTGCACACCAAACATCATTAGTCAAAAAAAGAAATTTTTCTTTAATTTCATAGATCTTTTCAAACCATGTAATTTTTGGTTCTAACCCCAATCATTCTACTTGTAATTCCACACCAACCCAATACATCTTAGCTTGGTTTGTGAGCTTTAATTTGGTAGATCTTATTTATTGCACACCAAACATCATTAGTCAAAAAAAGAAATTTTTCTTTAATTTCATAGATCTTTTCAAACCATGTAATTTTTGGTTCTAACCCCAATCATTCTACTTGTAATTCCACACCAACCCAATACATCTTAGCTTGGTTTGTGAGCTTTAATTTGGTAGATCTCCTGCTGAAGTATGAAAGATTGTATACCTTTAAAGCTGCATAAGCTATTTAGAAACGGCTAAAAACAACGAGAAATTATTCTCCATATGTTCTGCAGAACACTCACTTCCCACATTAATAAGATCAGCAAAACTCTAATCCTCTATTATTCAGCAAGTTTTCATCCTAAACGCTCCTCAACGAGCATAACAGACCGAAAGACAATAACAACTTCACATAACAAATATTGGACTCAACTCCAGAACAAAACTTTTCAATCTAGAAACAAGGACAAGAAATACAAGCAAGAAACAGACAATGGGATGACATTTTGATCAGATGGAAGAGACACAAGAGCCAAACAAAAGTCAAGCAAGAACAAAATAGCCATTGAGCAAAGGAAAACGTCGATTCTTACAAGGTTTTTTATGAATATTTCCGAAAGCAACTTCTTGTACCGCTTCACCGGCCGCCGAGAACTCGGATTCAACGCCGGACAGCAGAGGCAAACATTTTCGCACGCAGGCAAGAGCTTTCTTGAGATGTAACCCATACTGTAAATGACAAAGAAGAACCCTAAAGTGGAGTGAGGAAGTATACCAAACCCGCTACAGTTTCCCCCTTATCTCCATGTAATAGCTTCCCAAAATAGCGATGAAACTAACATAAACCAAGTTAGAAGAGCCAAAAGATCAGTAAAGGAAGGCCATGGAGGAGGGTAGAGAAGTGTTTAGAAGCATGACAAAGAAGAACCCTAAAGTGGAGTGAGGAAGTAGACCAAACCCGCTACAGTTTCCCCCTTATATCCATGATAATAGCTTCCGAAAACAGCGATGAAACTAACATAAACCAAGTTAGGAGAGCCCAAAGATCAGTAAAGGAAGGCCATGGAGGAGGGTAAAGAAGTGTTTAGAAGCGAACAAAGCAGCATTCTCGGCACAGGACCCTTGCACGAGATCTGCGTCTCTGTTATACGTAAAGAAGGAGATTCTTACTGGGAAGAAGTGATTCTTCTCAGCTCCTTGGGCTTGGAGTATACACTCTACAGAGTAATGATTTAACGGCAAAAAAGAGGTTCTCTATTTCCATCGTTGTGTTGAGAGAGAAAAGAGAGGGACAGAGACTGGCATGGAGGGGCCGAGGGACAGGCAATAGCCGTATAGCTCTGCTTTCTTACAGTTAGCCAGCTCCCAAGCTTTCGTCAATGGAGACGGCTTCCGTCTTGTTGTTTAGCGAGGATAGATCAGTTCTTAAAATTTTTTAATAGCCAATTCTAAATTTATTATTTAAATTTATAATCTAAAAAACCGAAACCGATCTCCATTTTTCCTTTCCTGCCGAACTTGATGTTATATAATTAATAAGTCATTTTAAAATATTCATAATTTATTGCTTAAAGTAGAAAATGATTTGCTCAAAACTTTTAGTCTTGTATTTTATAATTTATAATTCATTATTTTCTTAAAAATCAATAAATTATGAATTCTTTTACTAATTTAAATTAAAAATTTATGTCAATAAAGTTTATATGTGAATTTTACTTTAGCATTTAAGACATTTCTTATAAATAATTTAAATGTAGTAAAATAACTAATTAAATGTTAATATTATTTATCCTTCACATAAGTTAATACTTAAAATAGTTATTTTAAATAAACAATATTAAAGTAAATTTTTAATATTTTTTTATGAAAATGAATCATATTAATTATGAATATAAAATTTAAAAACCTATATGTGTGTTTGTATATATGCACAAGTATTCCTTTTTTTTTTTTAATGAATGGTTTCTTTTATAAGAAAAAGTGATGAGCTACACCAATAGATTCCCACCAAAAATATTCAAATTCAAATCACCAACTCTAAATGCATTTTTATTTCATCAAGTTTTTGATAAATATGGAGTATTTTTTTAGGTAAAATAATGACATTGAGATTTTCTTTAAGGGTGATGTGTCATCAACAAATTTGACCATTTCAAAAGAATTTTGAGGGTTTTGACATGAATCTTAAGGCATTTTTTGAACAATACTATGTTCTAATTCAAAATAAAATCATTCAAAGCTCTGATTTCAGCAAACCTAGAGTTAAATTGACTGGATCGACAAAACAACTCATTGATACCAAAATTAATCCAATCTGAGGTAAGTCCATGCTAGATCAAGCTGTTAACCTCTTTTATAGAATTTTTTATTTTTATTTATGGGGTCAAATGAATTTTGAATTTGATGTATTTATAGTCAATTTGGGCATCTCGATGAGAGGAATCTAAAGGGTCCAAGATCACCCGATTTTGAGGACATTAAGACTATCAAATCATTCTAAAAATTTTATGGGACAAATGATTGGATAGTTATGGGAGTAATTCGCCAAAGGACGAAAATGTCCCTCCCCTAAAACTTATAAATAGACACCCTCTCCTCAGTTGAGGGGAACGAGTAGAGGGAGTTAGATCTCAGAGTCATTATGGACTGAATACTATACGAAAACTTCCATCGTTCATAACCGTTGTCCACCGTTGATTGCTCCCTACTCTCCATCTTTGGTGAATGCTATGGTGTAACCAAGTACTCCCAACATGGCGTAACGAAGCATCTGGAAGTAGTATGTGGAGTATTCTTAATAAGGTGCATTGATGTATCATAGACATAGTATATTGAAGACCCGGTGATAATTCCCAGTGGTAATTATTATCGATCATTGTATACAAAATACAGTGAATCCTTTTGTATGTTGTGTACAGACAAACATTATACTTAATATAACATTATAACTCATTTTTTCTATTAGCAAGATAAGGGTACATTTTCTACTTGTGAACTATGGGTATGTTTGGGATAGTTTTTTGCTTGCTTTGTGTTCTAAACCACCACCACAAATTTATTTTATGGAAATGCATTCTTGTTGCTTTCTAGAAGTTTATGTGATGAGAAATTGTTCTTTCACCTAACGTGTTAAAGTGCGGTTGTTGTAAGAAATTTATTGTTTGATTTTTTTCGAAAAAAAATTATATTTATAATTCTCATCACAGCTTTCTAAGAGGTTAGCTTATTCACTGCACCTTTACAAACAACTTTCTTAGAAAGCTGCAACCACCCCATACAGACCCTTATAGTAGATCATTTTGACTAAGCCTAGCCCCATGTTTTTTTTCCCTCTTCAAGTTTTTTCACATATAATTTTTTGGTGTCTTATCATATTTCTTTTTATTATTTGTACGTATGTTGGATTTTTTAGAAAGATATGACATTAAACTATTACTCTATTACTGTGAATTTTTTGGAACGCACCAACTTAGTTACATCTGTGGGAAACAAAATTTCATTTATAGAAGTTTATATTTCATCAATGTTCAACAAATGCAATATGTGAGCTTCGCGCTCTAACACTTATCATTTCAGGGTACACTTCTTAAGTGTTGGACATCAAGCCTTTGTTACTTTTCCTAAAGATACACATCATCCTATTAGTAAGAGAACTTCCCTTGCACTACTTGAAGATATATGAAGAATTGAGAAACCTCAAAATGAGATTCTCTGACTTCTACATGAAGTTTGGCAACCCAAGGTTATACATATGGGAGGGGCACGCCACATTATAATCCTTTGAAGAGAGGTACGTAGGTTACACCCTTCCACATTCTAGAGCTCCCCTTTAGAAGGCTGAGGGACACTATCAACTCTACACATCAACCTGCTACATTCAAGCCTGGCAGCAAACCCACAACATGCATAGAGAATGCAGGTCGATGACATATAATTCATAACGAGTTATGATGTATAGTCCTCAAGGACTTTCCTAAGTGGGTATAAGTCATTTCTCAACTTAATGTGGATCTCAAGGGTCTTCTTTGGAAGCTAAAATCATTCATCAGTGCCCTATTCTAATAGAATTTAAGTTTCCAAGCATTGATGCTTATGAAGGGACTTTTAACCCATATAACATGAGTATCACTTCAGAATCATCATGCACATGCAATGAGTTCCTGATACTCTCCTTTATCAAGTTTTACCCCTAAATCTTAAAGTTCAAGAATGTGCTTGGTTTTAATCACTTTTAGGAGGGAATATTAATACCTTCAATGCGCTCACCAACAGGTTTGTAGGGTAATTTATTACAAATTGAGTGATCATTAAAACATCCTATCATCTCTTTGGGATCCATCAAAGTGAGGGGGAATCACTGAAGAATTATTTTTTACGATTATCTATTGAATTTTGTCAAATCATGGGAGTGCATCTTGAGTTATTAAGAGGTATACTTTCAAGGAGACTACACTTTAGTCTTTTCTACTCATCTCTAATGTGAGATACGGTTTATTTATACTCTAATCTCATTCAACATATTGTGACACAAATTGATGTCAGCAAAGCTATTAGTACACATAAAAAGTATTTTTGAGATATTGTTTAAGAATCGTAATAAGAATCACGTAAATATTGTTGAGTCATCTCAACAGAAGAAGTTTGAACTGCGGGAAAACCCTAGTTTGACCCCTTGATCATCGATACACAAACCACGACCCAAGAAGGAGTATATACTGCTCAACGTTTCACATGTTAACATCCTTATGGTGATTAAGGATAAAAAAACTCTTAAGTGTCACCTATGTTGAAGATGAATATGTGAAATCAAGAGCTTTATAGTCATTTCCACTGAATTCAAGACCATGATGCCGAAGCATGCTTTCAACTTAAGAGAAGATCAAAGGGTTGATCCAATAAGGATTTCTAGGCCAGTTCATTCAAAGCAAGATCCTCACACTAGTAATACCCCTATTAGAGGCAGGAAGCTCATAAGTAATAGAACGACAATCATCAGATTCTTTCCAAGAATACAATGATAGTAGGAGGTCCACTACTGATCAAGCAAGCTCTCATTACGATATATGAATAACCTTCACCAAAGAAAACTCTTGTCAATCACTCCATTACATTTAATGAATCTGATCTTGATCGGGCTAAATTCTTTCACCAAGATTGATTTGTTACGAGCTTGAGGATCGATGAACCTTCTTACAATGTCAATAGAATCATAGTCGATGGAGAGGCTAAGTCGATGTCTTATTCTACATAAATTTTATGGGATTGTCATTAACTAGGGAAAAGTTGCAGCTTATTGTTAGACCTCTCTACACCTTTAATAATCAGTTGGCGCATGTCAAAGGACAACACTCTCCCTCTTACGCTACATTATTCCCCCAGCAAATGACTCACATGATCTAATTTCTTGTAGTCAAGTTGGAATCATTGTATAATGTCGGATTATCAAAAACTTGACGTTAAGTAAGTTGGTCAATCACACAACTATACGTGTCAAGTAATAATGCAGTTAAAGAGTATCGTGTATCGATCATATGAGGAAAAGGCTAAAAAATATTCTAAAGAGCAAATCTTCAATTTGCTAAACATCACAAACAAGAGATGAAGTTTCTAAAATCCTAACTCAAAAATAAAAATAAAATTAACGAGATTGAAAAATAAAAGAAAGCAGCAAGCATATAAATCTTATAATTCTTCAAGAGAGATAAGGTGTATGCCTTCGTGATTTAGGAATTGTGGTGGTTTATAGTATTCCTAAACTTTCTCCTATGTGATAGTTGTCAACGGGGATAAGAAGTTCTCCTTATGTATAGGCCTAAGTCAAATGAAGACTAGAACCCATGAAGTTAAGTTCTCTTAAAACTCATGACATTCCACAAGATTATTTTGATCTCTTTTTTAGGTGGCACAATCCTAATAAACTATGTTTGTTTTTACCAGAATTATGTGGATAACCATTTCGTTTCTCTACACAACGGGCAGATGTCATAGATCAAAAAATATATTAATATGTTATTTGATCAGATCATGAATAAATGAAATATGACATAGAACTAAAAGCTCAAGAAGATGTTACTGGGAAGAACAATCCAAGAAAACTACAAAACCATAATTCTTTCATCACATAGATGCGAAAAGAACCTAGCCACTCATGTTAGAAATAATGATGGAAATCAAATTTATAAAAACCATTATTGAGTAAAACTATAAAAGAAGAACTTACAAAATATTTTTTCCCATCTTTTATAAAAGAAAATCTCTCTCTTATACAATCTCCTCTCAAAATAAATAAGAAAAACATAAGAGAAATGGAAAAGAAAAAAATCCCTTAGGACTTCAATCCCAAGCAAGGAATAAATCCTAAGGGAGCAACTCTCAAGTCCTTCTAAATTCTATTTCCAACCACCTTTAATGGCT